TACGAACAACCTGGCCAGTCAAAACTTTACCTCAATGGCATTCCCTTTTCACCGAAACTGATCTGAGAGATTCTTGGATATGTTATACACTCAGATCGGGCTATCAGGGAATGTCGTTTTTGTGGAGTTCTTATGTATGGTGGGGGTACTTTTGGGGTACAGTACATTTTGCTGGAATTTATGTACCTGAGAGATAATTAAATTAACCCCTTAAGGACACATGACATGGGTGACATGTCATGATTCCCTTTTATTCCAGAAGTTTGGTCCTTAAGGGGTTAAAGGGTTTTTCTTATGCAATTATCTCTCAGGCACAGAGGATCCTGGGATTGAAACCCTTGTTTTCTTGTGTTGTAAACCCCTTCTAAGGGACTGGGCAAAAAATCTGTGTGTGGCCAAATAAATTTCAGTTGACTCCCAGGACTATGTTTCATCTGGTTACTGGGGGAATGGGGATTTACTTGTGTTGATAGTTCCAGAGTGGCTGAAGTAGGGAATTAGCAGAGGTAACCAGTTGGGCCTGTGGTCCACTACATACATAATCACCTTAAAGACAGCGAGATAGGAAAATCCATCACCTCAAATAGAAGTGTCAAATGGATAGGCTGCAGCAGTTGGATTTCACATTGATCATTTAATGATCTCTCAAAAATTGTGAGAATGGGAGAGACTCCTTCAGATGTTTGGTATGAGCACTGGAGTAATGTAAGATTGTTTTTCTGTCAGTGGTTTAGAATATAGTTAAAATTGTTAGTCACCCTTTATTAGGAGAATTTCCAGGTCCAAGACGTAGACATCAGACAAATTAATATGTGACATGACTTTAATTGGACTCAGTAGATGATTAAGATCATGAACAACATTTTTGATTCTTCCTAGGTAATGACCCATAGAAACAGAATATCATCTATGTAGCGCATGTATTTCACAATCTTGTTTGCACATTTTTGCAAGATGAATCTCTTTTCAAAGGAATACATGTAGGAATTGTCATTGCGGCCTCCATGGATGTCCCAGAGCGCTTCATAAACCATCTGGTTTCAAATCAAAAATAGTTCAATTGTAATGTCATGGCTAATAATTCCAATTTATATTTAATTGGAGGGTCATTGTAACATGGAGAATTTGAAAGAAGCTCCGTCATAGCTTCAATGCCTTCTTCATGGTGAATGACCGTACATAAACTTTGATAACCCAGCGTCTGGGTGTGTATCCTTAATTCAAGTGGGGATTTGTTCTACTGGTCCTTTGAATCGATAACCAAGATACTTTGCTATGGGTTAAAGTATCCCACTTACTGTGAATACAATAGGACATTCAGGTGGTTTCTGCAGACTTTTATGAATTTTTGGTAAGGTGTGTTTTGGTAAGATCTAAGTTTTTGGATTTTTTTTTTTTTCAAATATTGGAATAATTCTGTGCTGATGTAACCTACATGCATGCCCAGCATTACACAATCTTCAGTTTTTTTGCAATACATAATTTGTGGGGTTACCTTGTAGAGTATGTATGTCTTTCCATCTTCTAACTGTTTATGTATTTCTAATGTATAGTCCTTGTAATTAAGGATAACTATGACTCCTCCCTTGTCTGCCAGTCTGAGGGCACTGGAGGGATCATTTTTAAGGCCTGAAATCAATTTACGTTGTTAGTTGGAAATGTTGGAATGTCTAATCTGGTGTTGTGAAAGGATGTTTTCTGAATTATGGCTGTGAGAAATGTTTTAATTGTGTGATGGTTTGGAGAAGGATCAAAGGAGCTGGTCAATCTGAACCTTGAAGGCGGCATCTCCTGCTCTTGCTTCTTATTCCCTCTTTGGAAAAAATATTTAAGTATACGTGTGCATCCAAATGTGAACACCTCCACCTCCCATTGAAACTTATTAGGTCCTGTTGTGGGTATACACAGAAGGTCCAGTTCCTGGTCTGTTAAATGTCTGCCGATAGGTTGAATACTGGAGCCATTGTCATACGGGGGGCTTCCCTCTAGGCCCTGTATACATATCATCTTCAGGTGTTGCCTCACTTACTTTTCTTAACCTGCTCTTGATGGTGGTTCTCAATAAAGAGGTCTCTTTTGGTGCTTCTGACGGTTCTAAAAAATAAACTAACATCTGAGGTTGTGAATTTTCCCCATCTGAACATGACTCTCCAGATGTCACATCTATTGTGGAGATATTAGGTTTAATCATATTTTTTTCTGAACCTTCTGGGGTGAAACGTCATTCGCCAGTTAACTATTTTTAAACTTGGTGTTCTTTTTAATATTGTTGGACCATCTATTGTTTTTGCCTGAGTTGGTTCTTATATTTTAATACTTCATCAAATAGTTTTAAAAAAAAGTATTTACAAAGTTCAAGTTTAAATCAACATTTTGACCCTCCTGTGTCTTTATTGAGATTTACTTTTCACAGCTAACAATTCTAGACATAACAGATTCACAGTGAACAATTCCTGGACATATATACCTTGGTGCAGAAACCAATCTTATCAAATATTTGCACACAATTAGAGCAGAACTTATGTATAAGGCAGTGGTTTCCAAACATTTTAGGTTCAATGCACCCTTAATATTTCAATATTTTTCCAAGGCACCGAAAGTCAAAATTTCGAGATTGTATATCTGTACAGCACTGCAGCATTTACTGGCACTATAGTGTAATGTACAGCGTTGGTGTTTGAAGAGGTGCTTGTATGTAGTTTTAGTGTTTTAATATAATAGTGTGTTTGTATGTAATGTTTGCGTTTAATTGCAGGGGTGTGTTTGAATGTTATGTTTACTTTTAAATGTGGATGTACATTTGTGTGAAGTATTTGTGTTTGAGTGAAGGGGTGTGTTTGTATATCATTTTGGAGTTTGAATGCAGGGGTGTGTTTGTATGTAATATTTGTGTTAGATTGCAGGAGTGTGTTTGTATGTTGTGCTGGTGTATAATTGCGTGGATGTATGCACATACACTACCACATACATACATACATAATTGCACACACATAGATACAAATCTTAACACACACATATACCAACATGTACGCACACACACGCACCCTGACACACACAAACATCAATACATGCACACACATGATACAAATACACACACTGACTTAAAAATACACACACAATGACACACAGATGCACATACAAAGACACATATCCTGACACACAAATGTGTGCACACACACACAGACACACTGAGATATATATATAAACACACACACAGATGCAAAACCTGACACGCACACACACAGATGCACAACCTGACACACAAACATACACACACATCCACATGCACACCCTTACCCACACACACAATCATACACACACATACACACACTCATACATACACAAACATACACACGCATACATACACACTCATACATACACACACACACACACACATACGCATACGCACACACTCATACTCATACATACATGCACACTCATACATACACACACACACACTCATACACCACAAGTGATATTTTTTATGTCTCCAGCCACATTCCTGTTAGCTTGCATTGTGTGTCCCGGAGGGTGGCTTGGAGTCCTGCTGCTGGAGGGAGTAAGGGGTCTGGAGCTCATCGTGCTCCTCCTCATGCTGCGGCTGCTTCCTTTCCCTCCTGCACTGACTCCCTGCATGATGCTGGAAGGTAGTGACAGGCTGTCACTTACTCCCAACTGGCCAAAGTTGCAGGGGCCCAGTCGTGGTCTTAAAGGACTGCGGCATGCGACTGGGCCCCTGTTCAGCAGTAATGTTTTCGTGTGCTATAATCATAGCACTAGGGAAACATTCTGCGGCACCCTTGTCTGCCTGCCTCGGCGCCCCAGGGCATTGTGGCACACAATTTGGGAACCGCTAGTGTAAAGAGTGGCAGCTAGTAATTTCATGCTGCAATGAAAATAATTTAAGTCTCTAACAGTAGTGACAGGCACTTAAGTAAGAAGATATGGCTGGTAAAAAAAAAACAACAATTACAAGACTTGAAATTAGCTAGAAATAGGATCAAAATGGCAATATTTATGATTTTGCTTTATTTAAATGAAGTCTTAGCACTAGTGTGGCCATCAAGGATTTATTCAACTCCGGTAGTTTTTGGAACCTAGCAAAACCCCTGAACAGTATAATTTTTTTATGAACCTAAAATTGAGTATCAATGCATGGAAAAAAATTGTATGACCATCACTGTTTTCCCTTTGCTGATATTAAAAAAAACTATCACGAGATATATGGATCTGTTTTCTGCTGTTTGCAGTGTCTAGCCATGCTATAAAAAGCCAGCTAATACCATTTAATGTCATTCTGCAATGTACAAGTCAGCACCTGTTGCAGTGTTTCTTTTTATCTAATACCAGGAAGCAACTTTAGGTAATGATTTCCTGTTGAAAATAGATTAAAATGTAAATCATTTTAGATAAATATCACAGGGAGTTTGTAAAAGTCTGCATGTGGCCAAATTTATTTTAAATGGTTATTAAAAGTAATTTGAGATTAAATGTTTAAGCTTGCCAACTGGGCTTATATTTCCTGCTGCTGTTCATAACATGAAAGACGTAGGACTCAGCCAAAAGGTGGCGAATCATCAGATTCTGCATCAAGTGGCCTCATTTTTACAGAGAACACAGAGGATGTGAAATGAATTGTACTAGAAAAGCCTTTTATCTGTGAAATAGGGAAATTTGGCTTAAGAATACATTTTTCTATGGTATAGAAGATACACTTAAATTAGGCAAGAAGAAAAAGCTTTGCTTATAAACTGATGATGTGACTCAGAAATTCAGTTTTACATGAAAGGAAGAAAAACACTTATCTGAAAATCATTTATCTTAAAGGGACACTGCATGTTCGTTAAAAGAACACTCTGTGAACCCAAATCTCTTCATATTAGCTGTGCCTTTTCTAGAGAAGACAATTTGTATATTTGACAAAAAAATGCCTCTTTATTGCTATTATAAATGAAAAAATCTCAAGCACTCACTGTGATATGTTCAAGGCAGTTTTTATTGGATTTGCAACGTTTCGACCTGTACCCAGGTCTTTATCAAACTTGATAAAAACCTGGGTACAGGTTGAAACGTTGCAGATCCAATGAAATCTGCCTTGAACATATCACAGTGAGTGCCTGAGATTTTTTTCAATTATATATATTGTATGGGGTTTGCTGACCCATGCTCAGTGCACCCTGTGTTCATTTTTGTGATTGAGTGCAACCCTCATTTTTCTCTAATTCTTTATTGCTATTAGACAGATGAACACTAAAGGGTCTTCCTCCTAAAGATCTATGATTTTCAAAGGACTTTTCATTTGTCATGATCATGCACACCATGATGACACTCATTGCCAATGCAAGGATCTCCTGCTGCCCTAGGTAAAAATCCATTTTGCCACCCCTTCATGAATGCAACTACATTCTGTCGGAGGTTTATTCACTAAATTACAAATTGCAGTTAATTGAAAACCAAATTGCAAGTTTAAGCAAAAGCAACTGAACTGTGACTGTGGCTGAGCTGGATAATTCTTCTAAATTAGCTATTTTTGCTCACATTTTGCCATTTTTGGCTTCCAATTGGTCTGATCTGTTGTCCTTTTCCTCCTCAATGCTCATTCTTTTTTTCTTAGCAATCTGTGTTTTCTCTCTGTCATCAGCTTTTATCCCTATTGTTCTCCTCTGTTTCTTTTATCCCTTGCTTGCAGTCTTTATGCTTATGTTTCATCTGTTCACTCTATGCCGCTGATTCTCTCCATTATGTCTCCCTTAATCCTTTATCGTTATTTGCTAAAGTGAGAACTGTTGGCATTCAAGTGAATTTTAAATTTAAGGTAAAAAACTGGAATCATTATACAAATTGTGCTGGATGATGTGTGTGTGTGTGTGTGTGTGTGTGTGTGCTGGGTGATGTGTGTGTGTGAGTGCTGGATGATGTGTGTGTGTGAGTGCTGGGTGATGTGTGTGTGTGTGCTGGATGATGTGTGTGTGTGAGTGCTGGATGATGTGTGTGTGAGTGCTGGATGATGTGTGGGGCAGGTGAAGCATTTTTGTACTTTATGTATAATTTTTATTTTATTCCTCCCTCCCTGCTTCTTACCTTGTCAGGGAGGGGGGAGATCGCCTGGTAGTCCGGTGGAGGGAGCCAGCCGCTGCACACAGGGGCCATCGCACACTGTGTTCCCTCTCCAGCTCTAACTCTCGCGAGACTCGCCTGTGCGGAGCGTTGCCATGGTAACAGCCGTGGGCCTCGTGAGAGTTATAACTGGAGAGGGAACACAGCGTGTGATGGCCCCTCTGTGCAGGTAGCAGGGCCGGTCCTGCAGGACAGGTAACGGGAACGGCGTTCCTGCTTTGGAAAAAGCTGTATATACAGGGCTCGAGTCCTGCAGGACTCGAGCCCTGTATATACAGCTATATACTTGCATGCCCTGCTCTGCTGTTTTTATATTTGTTTGCTTGTTTTTTGTTTTTAACCCCTTAAGGACGGCGGGCGTGCTATGCCGTCCTAAGGGACCTGGCTCTCAACGCTGGGAGGCAGCATAGCACTTCCCCGCCATCCTTTCTACTTAACCGGTCACCGGTGATCCCACGCCGTCGATCGTGATATGGGGACTTACCTGGGAGCCCAGGGAGTCCCCCTCTGTCTGTTTTGGGCCCCCCTGGGCCATGTAATCACAAAGGGCATAGCCGTCCATAGTAATGCCAGCAGGGGAGTGCCTGTGATGACAGGTACTCCCCCTGCTGCCTGTAAAAAAATAAAAAAGTTTTAAACAGTGTAAAATTAAATTATATATACTTAGATCATATATATATATATATATATATATATATATATATATATATATATTTACTATATATTTGATCTAAGTATATATATATATATATATATATATATATATACATACATATACATACATACACAAAAATACACGTAAGTGTATTTTAATATTAATATATATATAAATATATATATATTAATATCAAAATACACGTAGAATGATATTGATTAGTAAGTTTTATACTCAGATACTTAGTTGCATAATATAGTATTGAGACTGAAGTATAGAGTGGCTCTGTAGGTGTACTGATATATACTTTAATAGATATGCTGCAGACCGGCTTTGTTCGAATATTTGACTACTGTTAGCCTACTATAGAATTTTGAATTTTCATCGCACATCAAGATTTCATGCCATAGTATATTTTTTAAGGTTTGTTGTATATAGAAAAATTGTATTCTTTCATTTATTATCCTTTATGTACTTTGAACCTTTTACTTTTTCTGACCTTTATAGGGTTAATACACACCTGCAACTTCTCACTTATCATGTCCTTTTTGACGTCACCTGATCTCGTTTTCATCATCTTTCACCCTCCAGTGAGAACTGTTTTGTTAGGTATATAACTATTTGCTATTCACTATATCAATTGTCTTGAAAAAAGTCAGCATTGACTGAAACGTCGACATTTTTTGTATTCTGCACAATAAAGCAGCATTTATTTTTCAAATTAGAAGACTCCAGAGTGCTCTTTTCTTGGATACTAATTATCATTATATATATATATATTTATATATAATATAAAATAAATAAATATGCAAATACGTAAAAAAAAAAAAAAATACATATATATATATGTGTGTACTTTCGTTCTAACTGTATTTTAAAATTAATATATATATATATATATATATAGAGAGAGAGAGATATCAAAATACACGTAGAACAAAACAATATATAAATATCTATATACACAAGTATATATGTATATATCACTATATATATACCTATATATAAATAAAAATAATAAAAATATATATATATATATATATACATATATATATATACACATATACATACACATATATACACACGTATATATATATATATATATATATATATATATAATAATAATAATTCTACGTATATATTTATGTTATAATTTTACGTAATTAGGTCAGTTGTGGTAAAGGTAATTAAAAGGAGAAGTGGTGGGTGGGGCAAATCGCCAGACCTGAGAAGGTTGTGAGGAGGGGCTGGTGCTCCTTAAGAAGGGAAACCAAGCCCCTCCCACAACTTCAGGCCCAGCCTTCCATTTGTGCTCAGGGCATCAAAAGCCGTAGAGTTAGTAACAAAACATAGAGGGGAAGGGGTAAAGTCAGTTGTGATGTGCCTGAACTGACGATGTGGTAGGCCTGAAATAAAGAGGGCAAAAAAGATATAACAAGTTTATTCAGCCTACAATACAACATAAGTATATCACATAATCATACTCCTGAATGCTAGGCATATCTCTTGTACTGGTTGAGGTATGTATCTGGTGTAAGCAGCGGATATCCACCGCCCTAACGTTTTGATGATGTGTGCTGGAATATTCCTTTTGGATGCTATGGTAGCAGCTCCTATACGAAATGAATGACCCGGGTTATTTGGCTGGATTATAGCATTCTCACATCGAGCATGAACCTACTAGTAATAAGGGTATTGCGGTGCAAAGCCAGAAGTGGTTGATGTGGTGCACTTTGAATGGAGGAAAGGTAGTGATCGAAGACTTCCATTGTATGTGTCTCAAATGGTGAGGTATCTAGGAGGTCTGACAGTGACTGGAACAGGTGATCATGAATGGGTAGTCTTGGCTGTAGGGGTGAAGTCCTTGATACTTTTTAATATGGCTTTTTCCTGGTAAGATGAAAGAAAGCGTTGCTTATTAGGCCAAGTGGTGAGGATGTGGTGTTGAATACCCGTAAGATATAATTTAATGGTGTTGAAAGATAGTTTTAGGTGAAGGTGGCAAAAGGAAATGAACGCAATCAAAGTCTCCATCAAGAAAATGTGTATTGTGTGAAATTCTCGCAAAAATCTGTTGTAAATATAAAAGCCCTGTCATATAATTTCCTAGTGTTATTAGAAAGACCTAGTTGTGAGAGGTGATGCCCTTGAGTGAGTAGACTGTCTAGTCCATAACCATGTCCTGCCACCGTGGTGTCGGAGTAGGTTTAAGGGCTGCTGTTGGTAGTGCCACCTGGAACTCCTGAAATCGAAATTGGGATAAATGATCAGCTGCAATGTTCAGGACCCCAGGAATATGTATGCATGTCAAGAAAAAGCTGTGCCTAGCAGCTTGCCATGTCAGATTCCTCATGAATCGGATGATGGCCAGGGAGGACGAACGTTGCATGTTAACAATATGGCAAGTTGACATGTTGTCAGAAAAGCATTGCATCGGGTTACCCGACCAGCAAGCGCCCCATTTTACAGCTGCTGCCACGATCGGGTAAAGCTCAAATAAAGCAGAGGTGTCAGTGAACTGAGGGATTTCTTTAAACTCCTCCAGCCAGTTACCCCACATCCAGTCATTGCCAAAAGTTGCGGCAAAACCGGATGTGGCCACAGCATCCGTCCAGATTGACAAAGACCTGTCTATCAAAACTGGAATGAATACGCTTTTCCCATTCCAATTCAGTAAGAATTCCCTCCACATGCGTAAATCAGTGGTGGCATGTGAGTCTAGAGCAATGCGGGTTGAATCCGACTGAAATTGGGGAAATAGGCAGAGTAACCTGGATATGAATGCCCGCCCTTGTGGTATGATTTTCATGGCAAAATTAAGTGACCCTAATAGTGATTGCAATTTCTTCCTATTGCAAGAACCCCCCACCAGGTAAAGGTCAATAGTTGAGAGGATCCGATCAATCTTATCCGGGGGAAGGCTGGCTTGCATCTGAGTTGTTGCAGACTTGTGATTTCCCCAAAGACACTATATTGCGTCCCAACTTATATTTTAGAACCCTGGCTGTTCTCCCTCTGGGTATTGGGTTGGTAGTGGGGTAGAAAGTACTCACTTCAGAGGTGTTAGGGCATAAATTAGCTGTGTGTGAGATAGAAGAACAAACAGCATAAGCTGGTGTCTTCAGGCCAGCAAAGTGTCTACAAAAACGTTCAGTGTCCAGTATACTCCAGTCAGCTTGATAGTTGAACTGGGTTAGTGATGCAGATGCCTTTGCGGAGAAAGCACAGTGGTAGTCGTAAAAAGACGTGCCACTGTACTTGTGCCCTAAGTCAACCAGCTTGTGGAGGTAAAGATCAAACTCTTCCCTCC